ACTTAGTTTTACCCAAGTTTATATAATATTGCTTTCCATGTTTTTGTCTAACTCTTATAATATCTTATTTTGAGTTTCTGTTCTACTCTCTTATTGGTTTACCCTTGTCTTATTTCGGTGTTTGAAGACAAATCTTCGCCTTATGTTTATAAATTTCGGCTTTATTTTCCGCCTATTTCAATGTTTGGGTTTTTATTTTACCCTTTGTTATTTATTTTTGCATTAAAAATGCTTCAATGCTTTGTGACTCTTTTGAATAAGCACAAATTACAAAAGAGGACCCTTTTATAAAAGACACTTAATGAAGAAGACGTCTCAACTTTATATTGGTGTAAACATACGAAAGAAGAAGTAGGAACACACATATTTCTTTGAATAATTTGTGGAAGTCTTGTATTCTAGGACTTTCAAACTGTATACTTTACATGTATTCAAGTAACATCTACAACTCTTCCATAATTGTTTTCTTTATAACAGATTTTACAAAATTTAAGGGTATATCTTGCAACCCACGACTAAATATTGCCTTTAACCTAAATACTAGTAAGAATTTGTAATTTACATCTGCTAGTGCATACTTCATCATAGGTTTTTGAATCAGGCTTGTGTTTTTGGCTCTAGATTTGCTCTTAGCTTTCGATTTGTTTGGAAGATTGCCTCAGGCTTGACTCGAATTCTGACTTTTCTAGTCTTCTTTGCCTTCCATATATATAGTCCCCCAAGTGTTAGAGTTTTGAAGTATGAAATCTCGAGCACTTGATTATTCCTTCCATGTGGTCCATTTCCCGAAAAGGAAAAATATACAAGACTCGGAGGTATATATATTTATTTTTATGATGACTGCTTAACCGTTTTATTTCCATCAGAAAGGTTGTAACCCAGATCGGGGATGATTTTGCATCCCGCGTGTCTTTTAGGTCTAAAATCATCATTTGGTGTGGGCTAGCCTTGTGCCTATCATCTAAAATGGTTAGTATAATTAAAAAAAAAAAATCTTAGCCTTGCATAAACGATACCTGACCGGGGGTTTTCCCTTTCAGAGGTAATACTTCTTCAAATGAACAACATTCCAATTTGATGGGAGCACTTTGCTGTCCATTGTTTCCAATTCATATGCACCCTTTCCAGCAATCATCATTTGGTGTGGGCTAGCCTTGTGCCTATCATCTAAAATGGTTAGTATAATTAAAACAAAAAATCTTAGCCTTGCATAAACGATACCTGACCGGGGGTTTTACCTTTCAGAGGTAATACTTCTTCAAATGAACAACATTCCAATTTGATGGGAGTACTTTGCCGTCCATTGTTTCCAATTCATATGCACCCTTTCCAGCAATACCTCGAATCTTGTAAGGTCCTTCCTAATTTGGGCTCAATTTTCCTGCATTGGCCGCTTTTGATGATTGAAAAACTTTTTTGAGTACGAAAACCCCAATCTTGAAGTACCTAAGATGAGCTTTCCGATTTGCTTCTATGTTGCCATCCTTATTAGGGCTGTTTCTCTCCTTTCTTCAAGCAAATCGAGATTTACTCGCGTCTCTTCCTCATTTGATTCTTCGGTTGCTTGGATGTACCTCGTACTAGGTTCTCTTATTTCAACTGGAATTAAGTCTTCGGCACCATACACAAGTGAGAATGGTGTCTCTCCCGTACCTGTTTTTGGTGTTGTTCGGTAAGCCCATAAGACTCCTGGTAACTCTTCTGGCCACTTACCTTTTGACTCCTCTTATATTTTCTTCAAGTTATTAATAATAACCTTGTTTGTTGATTCAGCTTGTCCATTAGCCATAGGATGATAAGGTGTCGAAGTTATCCTCTTAATCTGCCAAGTCTGAAAGAATTCCGTGATTTTCGCACCTATGAATTGCGGGCCGTTATCACACACGATTTCTTTTGGAACTCCAAACCGGCATATGATGTTTCGCCAAATGAAGTCCCTGACTTCTTTTTCCGCACCTGTTTGAGGGCACCTGCTTCTACCCACTTGGTAAAATAATCGGTTAGTACTAGTAAAAATCGTACCTTTCCTTTGGCTTGGGGTAGCGGACCCACGATATTCATCCCCCATTTCATAAAAAGCCATGCTGCAATAACCGGGTGTAATAACTCTGCTGGGCGATGCATATTATTACCATACCGTTGGCACTTGTTGTCGCGCCCCTTTTTTCTCGCAAAATGGGGTTTCGACGTCGTGACAACTCTTTTAAAGGAAGGGTTTTAAAAGAGAGAGTCGCTGCCTAACGGATTAAGGTGTGTTAGGGCACCTATTTGCAAATAACTCTGTTTCACCAGTTTGTGTCACCAAAGATCGGGTAAGGGCTCGAAATTACCTCGAAGGGAAGGTGTTAGGCTCTCTTCGGGGTCCAAAACTATGGGTCCCGACCGAACTCAATTATATGAATTAGTCTATGTGATCAAAGAAAACAAAGGGATTTTGGGAGTTCATTATTAAACACAAATAATAGATTGAAAGGCAAGGTGGGGGGTCCTATGTTTTCACTACAAAAAAACAGCGTTTAACGACGGAATTTAGCGACAAGCGATATTCCGTAGCTAAATAACGACGGATTAGCGATAAAATTTGTATTTTGTCGCCAAATAAGCTAGAAGATAATTTGTACCAAATATAGCGACGGATTAGCGACAAAAACTTAAATTCCTCGCTAAAATTGGCGCTAAATATTAGCGCCTTTACTTTAGCTAAGAAATTAGCGACGAATTTTGGGCGACAAAAAATATTGAAACTTAGCGACGGATTTAACGTCCAATAATCCGTCGCAGAATTTATTTTACTTATCAAGGCATTCGAAAGTTATCTGCGACAAAATATTCCGTCGCTAATTACCTAAAATATAATTTCATTAATTACTATTAGCGACAGAATTTCGGTCCGTCGCTATTCCGTCGTAAAATTTCCGTCCCCAAAATTAAATTACCCTAGGTAAAAGACCTTCCCAACCATTAGGGCACAAACACCCTAATTTCTCCACTGTTCTTCCTATTTCTTCTCTTCCTCTTGAACGAAGGCACAAACGCTGAGACTTCATTACCTCTATTTTTTCAGTCGAAGGTCCTCAACAAAGGCTGAGACCTCAGCAGCGTAGGTTTTCAGTCGACGGTTTTCTATTTTTGCAAAGGGGTTTTGTTCTCAGAGGTATGGGCTTGCTTTCTTCTGATATTTGACAATGATATTTGACAAATTAAGTGTCAAATCTTTGACAATTTCGTTACTTTTCTTGTGTTAAAAAGTGATTTTTTAATACCTATCTGAAAAATAGAAGAAAACCTTTGAAATTGCAATTTTTTGCTGCGGATCTCTGAAATTCGAAGTCGTGTGTTTGTAGAATTCTGAAACTCGAAGTCGTGCTTTGATTTTAGGGATTGCATGTCCTTGATAAGGTAAGCTTCTTTGTGCAGTACTTACTACCTTGTTCCTCTTCTTCTGTAAATTCAATTGTTTGTATTCATATAGCAGTAGTTCTTTTTTCTTCTGTGTGATTATCCTGAGTCAAAATATTTCCTATCCGCGCATGGTCTTCCTCTTCAATATTAAGGAATTGTAGTAAAGTTCTATGAGAGATTTCAAACTTCTCCTGATGTTTACTCTGTTTTTATGCTAGCTTAATCCTGACTTGTTAAAGGGCAAGTAAATGTTGCTGCCATTGTTTGCCTTTTTTTTTATAGCAAAATCCACTAGGCAGTGTGCCTAGGGCTGGTTTTATATATATATCTAATAATAAAAAACAAACATGTCTGTAGGTCTTACAAAATGTAGAAAATAAACTTTGATACCTACTTCTATCCTAATATTGAAATGAGATCTAGCATTATTACATATACTAAAAATTAACCATTGAAGCCGTCTAAACCAAGCTACCCGATGTTTGCATCCATAACCTCTTTTGAATTGTACATTGGTAGCCATTGTTGATTTGGTACTGCCTTGCTGTTCTCTTTCTTGATCTTTTAGTAATCTTTTCCTTGGCCAGTTAACCACTATGTTCTCCCAGTATGGTCTGCATTTCGAAAAAATACCTGTATTATTCCAATTTTTAGGCTGGAATACTACCTTGTGCTGTGCAAATGTCGAACTTCTGCTGCCCTTTAACCAATTTGCATCAATATTATAGTCCAACTTGTACCCATTGAATCTGAATTTCCTGTCCAGTAGGGGAATTGTCCACATTTTGTCCAGTTCTGCTTCCACATGCTATGTGAATTGTTCCATCTGTTGTACCTGTTGCCTCTAACATTCCTGCTTTTGCTTATAATTGGTACTTCTCGAAGGGAATGAGCACCAGGTACTAATACCACCCTTTGAAGTTGTATCAATATGTAAGCCATGATTGCAGTAATGGCTCCTACTGATTGCTCTGCATAACACTTTGCCTGGTTCCCTGTATGACCTGGAGTAAATGCATCTATTGATCCTGCAGGGTTAGTCCATACTTGTGCTATTACTTTTGGTGTATTGTTATTGATACATGGTATTCCTTTAAATAATGTCTTCTAATTTGTTCAGGTTAGAGCCTTCATATGAATGCTCTGAGTTTATAACTAAGTCTTTCAAGAATGAACTTGATCCTAATGGATTCAACTGGAAAAATGTCTCANAAAAAGAGAAGCATCTTTTGGGATTTGCCTTATTGGAGCTATAACATGATCCGCCATAATCTCGATGTCATGCATATTGAGAAGAACGTCTTTGATAATGTATTTAACACAGTTCTTAACGTTGATGGCAAAACAAAAGACAATCCAAAGGCACGTGAAGATATGGTAAACTATTGCGATCGACCGCAATTGGCAAAGAATCCTATTGATGGAAGCTATCCCAAAGCTGCATATACAATAGAGAAGAATCAAAAAATTGCCTTGTTCAATTGGTTGGAAAATGTGAATCTTCCAGATGGGTATGTTTCGAATTTGAGTCGGTGCCTAGACACAGACAAGTATAAATTATTTGGTATGAAAAGTCATGATTGCCATGTGTTCATGCAATGATTAATTTGGAACCATCTCCAAATACACCTAATCAGAGCAACACAATAGGTGAGGGTACATCTTCTCAAAGCAACATAATAGGCGAAACTGAGTGTAGCAGTACCCGCCGACCACGGACGCTTGTTACTCTTTCTCCTGCAGGGTTAGTCCATACTTGTACTATTACTTTTGGTATATTGTTATTGATACATGGTATTCCTTTAAATAATGTCTTCTAATTTGTTTAGGTTAGAGCCTTCATATGAATGCTCTGAGTTTATAACTAAGTCTTTCAAGAATGAACTTGATCCTAATGGATTCAACTGGAAAAATGTCTCAAATGAGTTAAAAAAAATTTATTTTGGAGAATTCAAGGTATAATCCATCACAATTAGATTTCGAAAGTATATTAACTTTTATATGTTACTTATTAATGTTATTACTTTATAAAATTATTTCAGAAGGCTTTCTACTGGGATTCTTCAATTGATAGTGCGGTGCAGATCCAATGGGAGCGTAGGGCAGCAAGAAGATACAGTGATTTTATTAGCAAACTAAAAGCAAATATGGTGCAACCGGACACTATTCCAAATAATGTGTGGGAAAGTTGGTCGAGACTTTGGAAAGATCCTAAGTGTGTTGAAAAGTCAGAAATAAATGCAAAAAATTATTGTGGTGGGAGCGAAATTGCCACTGGGACTCATACAGGTGGCTCTATCAGTGTTGGGGAGCATCACAAGAGACTTGTAAGTGTATTTATAACTTTTCCCTGGATTTGTATTGTGTGCATGTTCACTTGTGCGTATGATATCATGTCTCCACGAATTGAAGTTGCAGTTGCAGTTGCTTTGGTCTTGTCCCTGCTTTTACTATCAGTATCTGTTCTATCCTTTGCATATTCCCAAACATTTTCAGGTATATTTATACTGTGTGTGTGGTTTGTTAAAAAAACTGATGAGGGACAAAGGATTTCTAGCGGAATTTAACTGATCGAGGAGATACCATAACACCAAACAGTTGATAGAATCAAAACAGACAGTCAAGTTTCTCAAGAATATTAAGCAGAAGACAAAACTGATAAGAGTGTTTCATGCTTTTACTATGAAGACCTTTTACTCTTAAAATTTCCTACAAAAACATCTTCTCAATATATTTCTATAAAATGTAACATTGGCAATATTCTTTTCATGCATTTTACTATCACATGTTTGTTTTGAAAGTATTTCTCTGTACTTTCATCTAAGGATTCTTCTGATGTGTTTTCATCATCTAATGAAGACTCATTTGCCCATTCATCTGTAGCTTCCTCTTCTTCTTTCTTGTTACTTACTTGTTTGATTCTTTTCCTGATGTGTACTAACATGTCTATCATCACTATTTCCTTTATCTTCCTCCATCCTCCATCAGTTTATCAAAGCTGTTTTGAGTAATGATAGTGTTCTGATCCATAGCTCATTTGATAGCATCTTCTATATTTTTCTTTATACATTTACTGCTCCCTTTTTTTTCTTGAGTTCTTTTTAGATTTTGAGCTGTCAGCCATTTCCTAATCCACATTGAACAATTTAACTAGTAACTTCCCCGGATCTTTGATCATGATACTATTAGGTGTGTTGTTGAGTAGATACTCATGTTCTTAAGCTAGTTCTGCATTGTCTTTTATATTTACCTGTTAAGTTGGTTGAAACACTTAAGTCAGCTCATTTTAAAAGCCTTTTGTCTTCATCCAAAAGCTAAACAGCTACTAAAATCTTGGTTTTGGAAAATATCAGATAATGGTATTTAATGAATAATTTAGTTTCTATATTTCCACTCCAATTTGAAGTCAATATATAGATACTGACTTTAGTCTAAACTGGAAAATAGAACTAAGAGTTTGAATAATTTAATATATAGATACTGACTTTAGTTTCTATGTTTCTCTATCTTCTTAATTGAATAATTTTTGTATAGGCTGTTAAAAAGGGTCGAGATCCAACACCAAATGAGTTGCATTTGCACGTCCATACACATGGTAATGATGGAAAATCTTTTGTTGCTGAGAAATCCCGAATCGTACATGTAAGATAACTTTTTAATTTCCTTTACTTTCATATATTTTTTTCATTTTGTAAATTGAATGTTCTTATTAATTCTTCTACAGGAAAAATATAAGGAGATATTACAACAACAAATGCAAACTCAATCTGACATTGATCAGTGTAAAGCATATTATCAAGCCGCAGGAGGAGAAAAGTAAAGAAGAGTATATGGTCTTGGATCGCAGCAAAATGCTACTACGGGCCAAATCTTCATGGCTCTCTTGGATCTGATGCTACATCGTCAATAACACCTCCAAATTCTCAATCAACACCGACAGAGAATCTGGATGAGTTAGTGATGCGATTGATTCCTTCACTGACAGATCATATAGTTCCTGTAATCGTTGAGCGGGTACGCGAATTAGTTTCCTTACCCTCGCATCAGCCAAATATTGATATGGCACCTACAGTTCCAACATCTTCTACTGCTGCTAACATTGATGAGGTTCATGCATTGGGTTCTGATGATGACCGTAACTCTCCAGCCTAGCGTAGTTAGCTTACTTTGTTTGGACATTATTGTTGGTCCTTGTGGATTTTTTGTACTTAATGATACTGTTATATGCATTATGCTATATATTTTGGACCTTTTTGAATTTATATTAATATCAGTGACTTTTTATTAAGTGTATTTAATAGTTTATGTAATATGTTTGAACATAGTACATTTAAAATAATAAATAAAAAGAATTTAAAAAATCAGCAATATAGTAAAAATAAATCAGCGACGGATACGTTCCGTAGCTAAAATTATCGCGTAAAATTAAAACAAAAGGTTTTTGTTGCAAAAAGCAGGGACAATTAGCTATAACACGGCTAGCGACGGACAATTTTGTCGCTATAAGAACAAACGACGAATTTTATTATGTATTGCAGTGACGAAAAGCATCAAAATAGCGACAGAAACAAGCTCTATAGCGATGGATATTTCCCTCGCTAAACTTTGCTACAAAAATATGTCGTCGCTACTCCGTCGCTAATTCTGCGACGGATTGGTATTTTTCGTCGCTATAAGCCTAGCAACGAGGATTTTTGGGACCAACTTGAATCCGTCGCTAAACAACTTTAGCGACAGAAAACATTGATTTAGCGACGGAATGCGGCCGTCGCTAAACGCTATTTTTTTTGTAGAGTTTTTAGCCTAAAGGATCACCCCGTGCAACATAAATAATACTTCGTAAATCCCTCGAGATGGGGTGTTACTCATATTATTCAGCAGGCACAGACTATCATCTCCTGCTATCCAATTACTATCTTTAAGTTGTTTACCTAAAGCTCACTAGTCAGTTCTAAGTCGTATCCTATGCGAGCACTACCCGTCCCATGCCTATGGTCCAGGAGGTATTTGGACCTCTATTTCAGGGTGGTTCTAGACTTTAACTTAGGCTGCTCAAAATGTCAAAAGCTAGGCGACATACAAAAACACATTGCACTTTCACTTATAAGCAAGTAAAGGGCTCAAGTTGGCCTCTGCAATTAGACAACAAATGCACGCAAGTCAGATTTGCAAAGACAGTTGCTGATTTTACATTGTTAAGAGTGCAGAAACCTATGGACAGGATCTCTATATGAATCTGGATCTAATGGGCGGATAGTTATACGCAAAATCCATTATACTTTCCAAAACCTATATGATTTGCCAACATATTTTAAACATAGGGGTTAAACCTATAGGCATGATATCTAGGCGTTTTTATGCAATAGTAGACAGTGGCAGGTCACAGAAACAGATCCAGAATTATTTGTTTTGATCCTATAGGCATGTTTTCCGGTGAGAGTAACATCACAATGTTTGGAAACTCATGAACAAACGGGCAGCAATGATAATTAGGTTAATTCAAACCTATAGATATGATTTCTATAATTTGGTTCCTATTTTAGATCCTATAGACATGATTTTTATAATTTGTAAACAGAACAGCATGTGAATGAGGTTTTTTGGCACACACATTGAATATTCAATTTCTTATAGGCATGATTTCTAATTAAACCAAGTATTGAACCAATAGGCAGGATTGCCAACATATAATGGCTGATCGTAATAAGATATCTATAGGCATAATTTCTAACACACAATAATTGAACATGCAATAGCACACTGTTGGACCTATAGGCATGATTTTTAACACATATACATAATAACACATTGTTGGACCTATAGGCAGGATCTCTACCCAACTTTTATAGCAATAAATATAAAATAAGAAACCCTTCTCAGTTTCACTAACACCCCAAAATTGTTGTTACAGAATTATTATTATAGATCAGAATTTGATGTAATAAATTACAAAGTACGTATAACAATAGGGAGCCTACAACAGGCCCAAATACACCTGGACAGGCTAGGCCTTCAAATCACAATAGCTCTAGAAGCTCATGTTCATAGATACAACATGACCAGTGGTGAGTGATTTACCCATGTTTCAAGGATAAGCATACAGAACCCAAATCTCTAGTGTGTCAGAGTTCCCAAGGGCTTCAAGAACCCAGGGCAGTGCTCACACTAGAGAAATTAATCAGAAACAGTTCAAGGAAGACTAGGGACCAAATCCTAGTGTGTTAGATTCACAAGGGTCTCACATGGACCCCGAGCAGCGCTCACACTAGGGAGGTCAGTAGTAAGAGTCTTGGTGGCCTTGGCTTTCAGCCATCCAAGAATGATAGGTTCAGAATAGCATAGGTAACGAATGAGAGAGAGTGGGCAATGGTTAAGGGGCAGAAGTTGAGAACACAGAGCAACTTAGAAGGAGGTTCAGCAGGACTCAGAGACAGGTTCAACAGGATTTCAACACTTAGTAAAGTAACACATAACAACCACATATTGAAAGAGTTAGGGGAGAAACAAGTTTACAAGATTGACAGAAATTACCAAACAAGTTAAAAACCTAAGAGGTCTTAATTATGCTAAGTATACATCTTAGTGTCATAAGATAAACATGTTAACCCTTATCAGGAAGCAAGACATGATAGGGAGCACATATTATGACAAACCAGGTAATCACTGAAGTAACAAAGATTAGGTGAGCCAAAGACATTCTGAAGGACATGTTAACAGGGATACATGGTCATAATTGATAGAAAGGCCTTAACACTGAATCAAACACATTATATATGCAAGAAAAACATTGCAAAGATTCAGAGCAATATGAGCAAGTGAACTCATGTCAAATAACACGTGTAGGTATTCTAGTATTGGCACATTAGACTTATTAACTAAAGAAGGTCCGGGCTGTGTTAGGGATTTATGATGAAGCAGTTCAAACAAATTGAGATGACTATTCTAAAACCTCAAACAATCACTAAAGGGGTGTATGAAATCAAGTGAACATGCTGAGTGATAAAATAGCAGAGAAACATGTCATAGTTAACAAAGGGAGTTCTAACACAAGTCATTACAGATGTGTCACGACCCAACCCCGATCGTGATGGCGCCCAACACACTGCTAGGCAAGCCCGACCATTTAGACAACCTTGACCGATTAATCACAGAGGATAAATAAATATTCACAACTAAAATACCAAATTAAATGCAGAATTTCTGAAATAATTTCTAACATTCGAAACCCCAAAATAAAAATACTAATCAGCCCACAGAATCTGGTGTCACGAACATGAGCCTCTAATACAGAATATTCACCTATCACAAGTCTGTCTAGGAAAAATACGAATAAAAGGATAAAGATAGATGGGAGAGATCAAGGCTGCGAACGCCCTGCAGCTACCTCGATACTCCCGGATACTGCTGCTCAGCTAAACAAATCCTCACTCACCCTGTGGTGTACCTGGATCTGCACACAAGGTGCAGGGAGTATTGTGAGTACTTCCAAACCAGAAAGTAATAAATATAAATAAAGTCCGAGGATAAGAAATCCCAAATAAACACAAGGTAAAGCTATAAATACAGTAAAGCAGCGAAGACAATTATAATAATACCACTACAGATAAAGAATAAATGACAATTGAAATATGCAATGCAACACATAAACCGGTACTCTCCAGTACCCCGCTGCGGTGTGCAGTCCGCTCCATTTATTTAACATCGACGGCGCTCACTAGGGGTGTGCAGACTCCGGGAGGAGCCCCTTACGGCCCAAGCGCAATATAAGCCATCTCGTGGCATCAATCAGGCCCTTGGCCTCATATCAATATCATCATCATACCACTGCGGCGTACAGTCCGATCCCATACTCAGTCCAAAATCACATAAGCCTTTCGGCACAATAATATAAAAATATTCAGCCCAAACTTCATTTAAAATATTACTTTAGTTTCTACTTTTTGAAAAGAAATGGCTGAGTTTACTAAACAGTGTTAAATACCAGGACTGAGTTCAATATCTAGAAATATGGTAAGAAACCAGTAAAAATAATCCCTGAAGGATTCAAGTAGTTGGCACGAAGCCCAATTATGACAATTAATCCATTTTTATAAGGATATCACAAAAACTACAATCAATTAGGTAGTAATTTTATTAAGCGGGACGGACCAAATCACAATTCCCGACGGTGCTCTACCCCACGCCCGTTATCCGACGTGCAAGTCACCTCACATAGCACTACGTTGTGCAAAATTCGGGGTTTCAAACCCTCAACACAGCATTTACATTTATTACTAACCTCAAGCTGGCCAAAGTCCTAGCTTGCTATGCCCTTGCCTTTCGAATTAACCTCCTCGTGTGTCGAATCTGACCAAAACCACAATGAATACGTCACAATATGCTAATGGGACAATACCCAATCGAAAACAATCGAAAAATAGTTAAATTCCCGAAATTAGCAAAAACCCGAGCCCCTGGCCCACTTCTCGAAAATCAGTAAATTTACCATCAACAGATTCCTTATCTCGCCACGAGTCTATACATATAAAGAACACCAAAATCGGAGTCCAAATGACCCCTCAAATTCCCATTTTTGTTCTCTTAGGTTTCAAGCCCTAAACCACCATTTTTGACCTTAATTCCTTGAGTTTTCAGTCTAATTTCATGTATTTGCATGATAAAATCGTGTTCTAAGTCCAAGGATGCTTACCTGATCGAAGTCCTTGAATTTCCTCTTCAAAATCGCCCAAAAACTCCCCAAGTCCGAAGTTAAAAATATGAACTCCTTCAAAATTCGCGAAGGAAATAAAAACCTCTTCTGATCAGTTGTTTCCGCATCTGCGGTACATTTGTCGCTTCTGCGACTTCCGCTCCTGCGGCTTCCTTCCGCTTCTGCAGAAATTCCAAAATTCCAAGGTCCGCTTCTGCGACCTCATTCCCGCATCTGCGGCTTCGCAGATGCGGCTTCCCTAACCGCTTCTGCGGAAACAGCTTCCCGGACAAAATTCGCTTCTGCGATCTTCCTTCGTTCTGCGTGACCACACCTGCGGTCCCATAACCGCAGGTGCGAAAATACCAGATACCATATATGAACCTGCAATCTCCAGCTTCAATTTTTCATCCCGTTAGCCATCCGAAATCACCCCGAGGTCCCCGGGACCTCAACCAAAAACACAATCATGACCCAACACCTTATTCAAACTTGCTCGAATCATCAAAACACCACAAATAATACCTAAACCATCAAATTACATAAAATTCAAG